CCCCAAAACCCCAAAACCCCATCTGTGAGAATTCAGCAAAAAGAGTGAATCAATGATTTACTTAATTTAAATTCTCTTTAATATTCAAATTTATTCATCGAAAATCAACTATTTATTATAATTAAGTATAATGTAAAGATTTGCTACACTTATAAAACTTACTTTAACATTCATTGTACTTATTTGCGCATTTTCCTTGCTTCAAATTCTAAACGATGAAAGTACAATATCGAAATCAGAAAACTGAAACTACTTCGAAAATTAACATATTATACTTTTGGATAATAGTAAGCAAGATATCTTCGAAATTGGAGCAAAACCTAAATATTAACTATAAGATAATGTTACTATCACCTAATAATGGTAAACCGATTAATTTCGCTTAAATCTTATCAAAGCTCAAGATTATGTTTTCAATCATTTATTGGGAGTTAACGCTCCTAGAATAAACGCCATTATTAATACTGACAAGCCAGTATATGAACCAGAGGATCAGGTATTTGTAGAAATATTATTGATTGATCCTTTGAAAAAAACTCCCTATTAGTTTTCTCAATTATAATCGGTAAATACTAATGCAGCACCTCAAAATGCTTAGCTTCAGCTTCAATCAACAGAAATTTTAATTGTGTTGACTGATTTGAATGGGATATCAATTGGAAAAACATCTTAAGAAATTAATTATTTCAATTTCACCAGAATACTGACGAATCCATCACTAGGATTCACTTACTTACTTCCTAAAAATTTGAGTGATGGCTAATATCTGATAAGTGTCGTGAGTAAAGATTTCCCTCCAGAGTAAAAAGTCATTTAAGTAAAATCCTATTATGATTTTTTTCCTCAAAAATATGAAGTTAAGCTAATGATTTTCAATGAAAAGGTAGAATTAAATCAAACAATCTATGGAAGGGTTGACATTCTTAACAATACATAAATCTATGACAACTTCGTCCCTCTACCTTCAAATTATTCTAGTTATACTTTAAGCATTAACTATAAGTGCTAAAGTATTCAGGAAACTCTCAACTTGACACTGGATCAGTCAGAATTTATTTATTTCTCTATAAATCCCTAAATCTATCTAGAACAGGGCAAGATATGCTAACTTTAAATTAAAGCAACCATTAAAATTGATAATTCTACTTATTAATCCGATGAGCTTGGATTTAAGTTGGGGGATATTGACTATTCTTACTATTAAAACATCAAAGCTATCTTCCAAAGTATGTAGCTTAGTGACCCAGTTGTGAATGACTACCAAACAATTTATTACTATACCTATGTGGACTAAAATTAGACTGGATAAGTAACAGATATACCATTCATCTTCAAAAATGGAAGATTTGGAGCATATGTTAATGATGGTAAAAGACCTGATGCATCTGTAAGATATATCCCAAAAGCATTAAATTCAACAATTAACAATAAACAGTACTTCAGTGAAAAATTAATATCTCTAGATAAAGAAATATACTTCTTAGAAATACTAACAAATATATAGATGCCTACTTCAACGCCTTTTAATTTCTAGGGTTCTGCCATGATTGGAAATCATTTTACAATAACGGCTGATTCTTTTTATGACTCTTATTATCCATATCCTGATATTAAATAATCTTAAAGAAATGTAATTAGAATTCCAATAATTATCGATGGGATCTAAACTATTAGAAAATAATACTAGAATCAATTAGATTTGTCTACTGTGAATTACACTTTTGATCCGTAATAACTTAAGACATTTAAATATTCTAAATATGACAATGAATTTGGATTGTATTTTAATTATTCTGATGGTATTTTCAGTTTGAACCCTCAAAGCATATCCCAACCACTATTAGTCTTGGGTTCATTCCCTACCTTGGACAAATTAAATCAATATTTTAGTTAATAGTACTAATTATTCTCAGCAATAACTTCTAAATCAAATGATTTTACTACAAACGCCTAAGTTTTTAATACCTAACAGAAAAATAATTTAAATTAAAATAACCTGAGAATTGTCTAAAAATTTGTAAACTATACTATTGAATTTCTAGGATACATTTACCAAAATAATGTAACTGCTCTCAGATTTACTAATGATAGCTAAAAAAATTTAAATATCCTGGTTAGCTTGTTTCCTGAGTATTCTAATGCGAAACTAATAAGTTATTATGGATTATAAAATATAGTGCAATCAATTTGTAAAAATAGTATTTATTAAGGTGAAATAGCAAACAAATCTCTTAATATTGGAGTTACTTTTTCAATACGTGATGGTGAACGTGTATTTGGTGCTGATGATAATCTCATAATTTATATCAACACTTCATATGTGCCAAAAAACAGTGGTATTTACTTACTCAGTATAAAAAATAAAGAAAAGGTAATCTTCTCTGATATTATTTAGCTTCCTAATTATGCTTACTAATACAGGAGAGATATATTTGCATCTTAATTTCAGTTTCCAAATGGAGGTATACTGACATTAAATCTGCATAGAATAAAGCAAGAATACTTTAATTTTGATACAGCCATTGGGTCAGCAAAATATCCTATTTGTGACTACAACATCATTCAGACCATGATTAAAAATGGCACATTACCAAGAAGTATTTTAGACAATAGTAACTTCAAAGTATTCCATTAGTATTTCAAGAAGAATAATTAGACAAATAGCTCTTCATAAAAAGCAAATTATTAGCCGTTTTAATATTCATAATCTGATATTAACTAGACTCTCCTTATTACACTAGGAGATAATAGCTAATGCATTCATATCTCTTTGAATGGTTTGGTCAATTTTACTGAATTTATTGGAGCTATCTCTTTCTTTAAAACAGCATAGACTAATACCACTAGAGCAGAGATAAAGTAGATGAGAGATAACTATGTTCCAGGTGATTTATTTAATGCTACCATAAAATCTAATATAAATGGAAGCTATTCAATTATAGTTACAGAGGACAAACCAAATGAAAACATACTTGAACCTAGCCTTTCATATCAGGCTTATTTTAAGAATGAAATTGATGAAAATACTCTCGGCTTTTTGAACCCTTAAAATATAACTCTTCAACCCTTTGGTAAGGTAGATAATCGAATAGAAAATATTACTTTTATGTAATAAATGATTGCATTATAAGCTTGGAGATAGCTAGTCTTTGAGCCTTCAATGATTCAAGCTATGTAATAAGGAATTCTGAACATGCACTAAAATCTGTAATTCTTCTAACTCAATATGCTAAGCATCAGCAAGATATACGGATTCAACTATTTTAAAGATTCATCCCTTTATGATCAGCTAAAAATTTAAAGATAGCTTGAAACAGTCCCAAAGATTAGGAACGTCCCATCAACTTTCTATAAACAAAGAAATAAAAGCACTCTTTAATACTATGGAATCAATAATTTTACTTTATAGCCCTATTCGCATAGTACTTTGGCTTTAGTAGGATAGAATGTATCTACTGATAGAACAGATATTCTATACTATGGGTATAATATACCTTTTAATACAACGAATTCCACTAACTTCAAATTCTACCTTAATAATTATTAGTCTACATTGAAAATTACTTTAAATTACTATGGGCCAAATGGATTTTCTACATTGATTAAAAAGATATAAATAAGAAATCCATTGAATATATAAAATCCGATACCAAAAGCAATGGTAATGGGAGATATCTTTAATGTAACAATATACTTAGCAAATTACTAGTTATAAGATTATATTGCTGTCCCGTAAATAACTTATTAAGATGATTCCTTAAATTGTACACTTCCTAACATTACTAAAACTATAAATAATATTAAGACTAATTCAACATCATTTATAGCTTTAGCCAACAAAAACACTTCCTATTAATACAGTGTTTAAACTTACAAAATGTCTAAACAATCTAAGCATATTCTATCATTTGTGGTTACAAGGAATTAATCTTTCGAATAATACGCAGTCTCAATTGAATAATCAACTAAGATCCTTCCTATTGGAACAAGAAAATTCATTAATTCTGCTGGTATTATTTAACTTAACTAAAGTTTGATATAAGATGCAATTCAGTTTACCGTCTTAATGGCTGATGTCTACCAGTACAATACTACCTTCGTTGAGGTAGTTATTCTTCCTTCCTATGAAGCTTATCTAAAGCAGACATTAACTAACCTTGCCAAGAAAAAAATTGAAACAGCTGATGACATATTTGTTTAGCTTGAGTTGATAAATCAACTGATTGATGTCCTGAATAATCAAGCTTTAAATTCAAATAATATTGCTACTAATCTAGGAGTTATAACTGAGTCAATATCCAAGGCTAAATATCTCTGTAATTAGATGATATATTATGAGGAATGGTATGGTTTTAACTATTTAGGAAACAAAACTGAAATTAATATTCCTATATCAGCATTAGCAGTAAATGTTCTGAATTAACTCACCTTCCTTGGCAACTATCAATATATTCCGACATTATATACTTTTGTTTTTAGGACTGTTTAAAACGCAAGGGATAAGAATGGAAACTATAACCTAGGTTCCTCAAATTTGGCTAATTCAGCACCTTAAAATATTTCTAACGCTTTTATCTTATACTCAATTAAGGAAGTAGAGTAAACTTATTCGAATAAAACATTAAATATCTCGAGTGAACTCTAAACCCTAATAAAAGCTGTAAACAAAACTTGCAATATAAGTGTGAAATTTGAAGATCTCAAATCTGACCCTATTTAATTGGCTCTCACTTATTTGGCTGCATTTAATTATTCTGACATTAAAGTTGTTTAGCTTTAAAATTTGACTGATTTGATATTCAAGTAGTTATTAAAACACTAAAAAGATTCAGGAGAATTTGATTCACCTGCGAGCTAGTCATAGTTTTAGTATTCTATCTTTAATGGCTAAGGTGATAGTAGAATAATAGAAGCAACAGCTTTGGGTGTAATAGCAATGGTTTAAACTAATAAATCTCTTTATTAATAGAACATAACTTCTGCTATAAATTATCTATTGAAGCAAAGCAATCAAGGAATGTTTGGTGGTAATCTTGGTACCATATTAACTTTCAGAGCTCTTAAATTATATGGTTATAATCATTCTTCACTTGGATCTGATGTTTAATTCATACTTCAAGGTCTAGGAATAAAAAATAAGACAGCGAAATTCAAATCTTATTCAGAACCAATCTAGTTTAGTCTAAACGGTTAAGATTTTAATCCAGCATTGAAAGTTGTACCAATAACAGTATCCATGATAGGTAGTGGACTATTAAAGAAGGATTTGGGTCTTGCTTTCTACACAGTGTATTCTAATATTGATAACAAATACGAGGGATTCAATTAAACAAGTGCCTAACTTAAATTTTCTATCACATCATCAACCTCTAGCAATCTATCAACCATCAAAGAAGGATCCACAATTACCTATTAGGTATATTTGCAAAACCTTAACAAAATCAAGAGTCAAAGCGTAATCAAAGTAACATTCCCTTATCCTATTTGCTTGAACTTGAAAACCGATTCTCTTAACTCATTTAAGATTTCTTAGGGAACTTACAAGATAAATAATGAAGAATCAGTAATTTATCTTT